CCCTTTCTCTTGGATCAGCCACACCGTTTGACCAGGGCTCTAACTCTCCAGGTTGACACTGTCTGTCTTCTCTGTCTACCTGCTTGTGTCCTTCCCTACACTACCTTCTTGGCAGAATGCCCTTTGGAAAATTAAACATTGCTTCCAGATGGAAACAGAACAAGAGAAGGGAATTGTATTCATTTTTACATCACTGGAAATGCTAGGAAAGAGGAGAGCCCAAGGTAACCTTTTTCAACTAAAAAAAAAAAAAAAAAAAGTCTAATTTTTTTTTTAATGATGCTTCCTGCTGCTGGGGTGACAGAGAGGGAAGGGACAGCCCCCATGCATTGTTGGTGGGAATGCAGTTCAGCAGAACCGTTCTGCAAAGCTATTGGCTAGGTTGTATCAATACCCTTAAAAAAGACTCCTAGCCTTTGACCCACTTATTTAACTTCCAGGAGTTTATGCTAAGGAAACAAATATATTCAGTGATCCTCAACAAAGATACGAGTTGCACCACTATATAATAGCTATAGGGGCATAATAATCTGAATATACACAATAAGAGAAAGGTTGCATAAATCAGGGTATATACCATATGATAAAATACCCCATAGCCATTTTAAGAATGTGATAGCAAAGGCTATTTAATGACATTCGAAAATGCTTTATTAAGGGGAAAAAAAAAAAGAACAGGCTACTATGTATGTAGTTTTATTCCTCCCAAAATGAGAAGATATGCCAGGATATTAACAGTGATTATCAGTGGTTATAAATTATGATTGTATTGCTTTTTCTTGATTTTTGGTATTTTCCAATTTTCTACAAAGCCATCTATAATTTTGAGTATCAGAATCTTAAAAGGTCAGCTTTCTTCTTAATGGTCAGCTTACTGCCCACCTTGCACCAGGTTTTAATAACCACAGAGTGGAGTCTACCCTGGGTCTGCCACGTCCATGATGAGATTGGGAGCCTGCTGGGGCAGCCCTGTCCATAGGAAGGCAGGCATGCCCTGGCTGGTACACCAGACGTTCCATCATTTGAGTGAGTCACCACAGAAGGGTGTCAAGCTGATGATAATGCCACACACTGTACTTGAACTGTTGGCCACAACCCAACATGCTGCCAGACCTTTGAGCCTTATCTTCCTAAACCATTCTTTCTTCACTGTCCAGTGAATGTCAACAGGACTGACTGGGACTGTATGACTCCTTTTGAGGACACTGTGGACCAGCAAACTAAAGCTGACATAAGCCTTCCAGTTGAATCCAAACTAGACCAGCAAATGTTCATTCCATGCTAAAGTTCAAGCTCTTGTTGTTGTTGTAGTTGGGCCTCAAAGGGGGGAGGGGAAGGTGGTGGGGCACTTGCAGAATCCCAGGAGTGAAAAATGTGCTGGGGCATTCAGCTCAGATACTCACAACTGGACTCTGAGGATGGTAGAGAGGCCTTAGGGGGTCATCTGCTAAGACTGTAGTTACCAAATTATTTTCTCCTGTCTTAACCTCAGTCATTTGTTATCTTTGGCCTCAGTGCGAAAAGTGAGAATTTGATAGAAGCTTCAGGGCCAGTAGCAAAACTGGCCTTTTATTGTTTGTGTGTTTTGTTTTAGGTTTTTTAAGGGTGAGATTTTTTTGTCTGCTGTTGTCATTTTTCAGTAAGGTATAGCCAGACACTTCGGAAGTGAAGGGGAATGAAAGAGTATACAGTCTTGGGCCATTAGCATCATCTGCGTGATCTTATTTCCCACTTACATGTTCTCTGAGTTGTAACACAACTAAAATAAAATGTACTCCTTGCTTCTTGGAGGAATATTTGTATATTATTGTCATTCTTTTGCTATAGACATCCATCATTAAATAAATAAAAACCTTCTATAGTATTGTTGATCATGAGTTTTATGACATGATTGTGAGCACAAATGAATAAAAAGCATAATTCTATCAGTAGTTTAAAAAAATCAAAGTACTGTGGAGTGTGCATTTTACTGTTACACTAAAATATAATAGTCATAAATTTTAAATTGTGGTCATTTTATAGCAAATAAATGTCACTGCTATGAGTAAAACACAAGCAAACAAATGAAATTCTATTAGTCGTTAAAAATGACAGTCAATACTACAATAAGTGACATGGAGCTTGAAAAGTTCTTATAATGGTTTCAGATACCCTGGAATTCCATCTGCACCCCCAGATAATTTCAGCCATGTACTGTCATGGTACATGGTCAAGACCCACTTAGATATGCAAGGATGTGAAAAAACATTCAGAACCACCTTGTGTTCATAGAGTATGTCCCCAACTATGCCTTTATTTTATTTTTTTTAACCAAAGGCATAATTCTTATACAAATGAGATAGGAAGCTGGAGGGGTTTCCTACTTATAAAAGCCACTAAAAAGAAAACAAACAAAAAGTCCTAAGGACTTTTTAATTGTCCTGTGCTGACCACTGACCAGAGGGACAGATGAGTTCAGGCCTCTTGGCCTGAGCTGCTTGCTGTCTTGAACTTGCAGATTGTCCCTAGTCAGAGCTCGGGTTCCTGGGCTGGGTTGCAGTTTGGAAGTCATGGTAGGCCTTGCCTACTAGGTCATTATCGAGAGGGGCGGGTTGTGGGGAAAGGCCTGAGAAAGCAAGGTCTTGCTCACCAGCTGCAGCTACAGAAGAAAGTGAAGACTGCACAGTTAAAATGAGGCAGCACTTTCTCCCAGGACTCAAGACAGAGTCAAGTGGGAGCAGGTATTCAGTTAATAAGAGAGTGGGGCGCCTGGGTGGCTCAGTTGGTTAAGCGACTGCCTTCGGCTCAGGTCATGATCTCAGGGTCCTGGGATCGAGCCCCGCATCGGGCTCCCTGCTCGGCGGGAAGCCTGCTTCTCCCTCTCCCACTCCCCCTGCTTGTGTTCCTTCGCTCGCTGGGTCTCTGTCAAATAAATAAATAAAATCTTTAAAAAAAAAAAAATAAATAAGAGAGTAACTTACCCCTCAGCTGCCAAATCTTACTGTCTTATGTTATAGTTGTTTTTTGGTCTGTCCAATCTTGTTAAATACATTGGGAACTCTTGAGGTTAGGGACCTTGGCAATTGCCAAATTTTATTCCATTTATTGTGTTTGATCATACTCTGTGCTCAGTAGCTTGTCTTTGCTGGATTATTTGAGAAAAAGAGAAAAAATCCATACTCTTTGAATTTAATCTCTTGTATTATATGAATTCCATCTGCTATGTGAATCTACCAGAGAGAAGACTGGAGGCAGGATTGGGGAATTTACAATGTGTTGAGTCTTATTGAGTCTGTCTGTTGCTACATTCCCATTTTCCTTTGCAAATGTGGCAGGCATCTAAAGGAGATTCATAAATCACTGGTTAAGAAGGCTTCTAGTGCTATGGCTGGGTCTATAAAGAAGCTTGGCACAACATAGAGGAACAGAGCCAGTCCTACTACCCTAGAGGCAGGACACTGTGGTGGCCAGAGCCCAGGGCTTAGGGCCAGGGGATCGGGGTCTGAACCTCGGCCCTGTCACTTACAGGCAAGCCTCAAATGGGCCCCAAGTTTCCACATCTGTGAAATGGAATCATATTGTGCGTCTTTGGCTTGTTGGGTAAGTTAAATGAGATTTGTTAATTTACTCACTCAACAATTATTTCTTGAATACTTATAGGCACTATTTTAGGCATTGGAGATAGATCAGTAAACAAAATGGACAAAAATCCCTGCCCTTGTATAATTTATGTTCTAGAAATATAATGCACATAATGGCATTAAATAAGTGTTTCATTCATTTAGTCTGTGGATTTCTGGTGAACCCATGTGATGGGTTTTTACTGTATATTTCCATGAGAATGTATGTTACAACCATAGGTAATTAGGACCATCATGAGGTCTTGTGTCTGAATTGAGAATGACCCACTATATAGGACATTTATGCGTTCTTGCTAAATCCCACTATGTTTAGAAAGTCTATTGCACTGGAATTGGATTGCTGTCATTTTCACCTCTATAAAGTGCTTGGATCAAACATTCCAGCAGTCGGCTGAGGCTCAGGACTGCAGGTGGTGTTGTGGCTGGGCGATTTCCACATTGTTTTCTCAGTCATTGGTCTTTGCACTATCTGTGATTTATGTGATTTTATGGAGTTGCTAGGATGTTTGTGTAATTTGTAGAAATAAGTCAAAGGGCTAGCATGACCAGTTAAAAGTCACAAGCTGTATTTTAATGAGTAATTTTAACCTTTCCTCTGCAAACTTTTGATCAGTTACCCATCAAAGAACAAAATGACAGATTGAAGTTTTCAGTTCCTCATTTTTTCATTGCCTTCCCTGTGAGATTTTTTCTTAGAGCATCACAATGCCCAAAATCCATGAAAAGAGAAAGGACAGGCCTGGAAAGCAAACCTCAGAGGGACCGCAATGCTGCCGGGGATTGTGTGCCCTCCCTGAGAGGTGTGTGTCCAGACCTGTCCTCCATCCGCTATCGTATTTCTAATGCAGTGCTTCTCTGAGTCTCCAATGGCACACAGCCCATTTAGTTAAAAATGTAAACAGGAAATTGTTTTCTGGCCGAATGGCCCGTACAGCCCAGAAAAATGGTCATTTTTGCTGAGACCCAACTTTAAAAACACTAACACAGCAGTGGAAGCTGAGGGCCTTTTAGAGGCTAGTCCTGCCCCACATGGGCTGGTGCTAGGGTACGAGTGGGAGCTCACGTATGTGGGCCCAGGGCATCTTCCACCAGTGGGCAAGGACACAGTGAACACCATCGAAGAAACTCCTGTGACCTAGAAAGCAGCTGTTCTGCAGGGCAAAGAGACTCCTTAATACTCCAAGGAATTGTAGAACAGGTGCTACTTGGAAGACACCGAGGTCTGGTCTGGAGAAATGTGACTTGGCACTGACGACACAGCCTGGGTTTCAGTGCTCCTCGTCTGCTCCAGCTCCCCATCATTTGGCCTCCCATGAATCTCGTGCTCCCATTGTGGTTTCCCTCTGTGCTGACGAGTTTTCTGGTTGTTCTGTCTTGCAGCCCCCCGAATCCAAGCCCAACTTCACCCCTCTCGCCATCTTGGCCCATGTTCTCGGCGCCATCCAGCCCTATGCCCACCTCATCCACGTCCAGCGACTCATCCCCCATCAGGTCTGTTGCAGGGTTTGTTTGGTTTTCTGTTGCTGCCGTTGCTCTCTCATTGGCTTGGTCCTCTCTTCATGCAGTGTTCAGCCTCCTCGTCAACTTTGTTCCCCGCCATCCAAACCTGCACTTGCTTTTTGACAGGCCAGAAGAAGCAGTTCGTGAAGACTCCAGGTAAAATCACGGATGATGACCAATCTGTTCCTCTTTATCCAAAGCCGGTCAGGGACAGTGGGGGTGGCCAGCCTCTGCCCTCCTGTGATTCCAGCCTAAGAGACCGAAGCCAGGAGGGACCGTGTGCATGAACCAGCATGGCATTCTCCACATCTTCCTGAACGCTTCCTCCAATTTCTGAATGAATCCGTGATGCCTGGAGTTTGGGGAAAGAGTGCTCCTGGACAGGCCTCTGTTTGGATCGTTCTCTGAATCATGGAGCTTTCTCTGTGCTTTGGTATAAGATAATATCAGAGGGAACCAGTGCTGAGACAAGTACTGGCCTTTTCTTCCCTCATTTTTATCAGGTAGCATCAGGCAGCATTTATTTGTGGGGTTGGACTATAGGCCGTGAGCACTAACACCTAGTTGCTAAGACCAGAGACATGACAGAGAGATGAATGTAACAGAATGAAGGATGGAGATGTGAAGCGGTTTCTCTTTATATTGTCATGGCTGCCTCCTTGCCCTCTGTGTGCTCCGATCTCCATGCATCACGGACCCTTAAATCCACTCATGGGAATAAGCAGCACCTCTTTCTCAGAGTTGATCTAGTTCCTCTCCTCTGGTTTGAGGATGTCTAGACTTAATTCTTTGTACTTCTTTAGAGAAAAGAAGCTATGTAAATCCAAGAAAAGAATTAATTAATAAAGATCCCCTGCAGAATCTCTCTACTATGTAGATCCTAAGCCCGTGTCTCTCTCAAATTTAGTCTCTGCTTGCAGATAACCAAAATGTAGAGCCCAGTTATAAAGCATAATAAGCATTTGGAGCCTTTACAGTATTTTCTCATCCATCTTTTTCTCATAGCTATTTTTTTTCCCAAAGGATGGGTCCAGCAGAGAGGCTTAAATAATTTATAACACTGAGTCTCACTTTTAAAAAAAGAAAACCCATGTTATTTATATATACAGATGTATATATTAGTTTATTCTCCTCCAGGTACTTTCCAGTCTATCATTGCATTGTATCCTCATCTGAGAATGAGAGGAGAAATGGCCTGAACTGTCTTATAGAGAAAGAAAACTGAGGCACAGAGTTGACTGCCCAGTCACACCACTGGATGAGAGCCCATCCAGAATTCAGGACTTCTTGTCCTTAACTCAGCACTCTTTCCTCCAAACATATGGGTGCCCCCAAACCTAAGGTTCCATGCCACTCCCAGCCCCAGAGCCTGGCCTGCTCTTCCTGGTTTTCTATCTAGCTTTGCACTGGAAGGTAGGAAAGAAAGGTAGCTTTTACATATACTCTTTTATCCTCACCCTGGGAATAGGGTTAAAATTCAAGATCATATTTTTCTGACACTCAAGTTATTTCCTCATTATTTCCTAGACATATTCTGGGCGCTTTGGGAGACGTTAACTTTCTAGGACACGAGATATGGCATGGATCTAACCAGAGCGGTTCGATCACTCATTGCCCCATGAAGACCTGAACAGAGCAAACTTCAGTCACCTTCCAATATGCCTCACTACTCGTAGGAGAGGCTTGGTCATTAGCAGAATGTGTTTCCTTCAGTCTGAACAAAGGGAAGTAAAATCTTCAAAACACTGGTCCCTTGAACAGAATGGGCTGGGGGGACTCAGGATGGTAGAATCATTCAGGTAAAAAGCTGAACATATTCTCTGCTTTGAGGGTATTCACTTTTTTGTGTCTCTGAGTTTGGGGGCCTATTGCCTGTTGCCTGTCCAGTATCTCCACCTCTGTACTCCCATCACCTGACATATTTTCAGGTTTTTTTTCTTTAGCTACTCCTTTCCATCTCCCAAAGTATTTCACGATTGGCAGAGCACAGTGGCAATAGGATCTGCCACCCTAGTAGGTTTGGGGTCATGGTATTCAGAACTGCCCACTCTGACCATCATTAAAATAGCACCATTTGGATGATGCTATTCCACAACACTTTAGGAATCTGCCATTTTGAAATAGGAAAGACAGACTAGGGCTTAGAATCAGCTGTCACACAGCTAAGTATGTGTGCCGAGGGGAGCACAGATGGAGACCCTGCTGGGAGCTAGCCCATCAGACCTAGCCAACGGAGAGGATTAAAATCCCCTAATTGCCGTTGGGGTATGCAGCCAAGAGGTGGGGGCATACCTATTGTTCAGGTCCAATGGGACCTTTCCCCCAAATCCACTTCCAGACCGTGAAGCTTCAGATTTCCTTCCCCTGGCAGAGCTTTTAAAAGTAAATACTTGGTAAGACCTAATAAATGGTCCCGTGAACTTCTACATAATGTCTCCTCTGGAAATGACTCCCTCTCCCCTCTTCCAAGCATTTTTAGTGCTTGTTAGTTCAAGCTCAGGAAGGAAGATGCCTTTGATAGCACAGCAGAGGCATATTCCCCTCACACTTCCCTTTCCTGTCACCCCTAGAGAAGCTCCCAGCCCCTAAACCATAACTTCCCTTTACACAGTGGTCCCTGGCAGTTGGGCCTGAATGATCAGGCTGTTGCATCCTGCCAGTCTAGCTGGCCCCACCTCCCTGTAGTGTCATCTGACGGAGAGTGGTTGTCATTTTGCAAGGTTTGCAAGGACATTTGAGGGAAGCTCCTCTGAGTGCTTTCCTGGCCTTGTGCCATGCTCAGAGGCGAAAATTAAAAATGAACCAGCAGAAGGTTCCAAACTTGTTCATGCCCTTGAAGGCCAGCCGAGGTCTGAAGGGCACTGTTTCAGGAGCAGCTGAAGGCACCTCAGGCTCTCTGTGTCCGGTGTTGAGATGCACTGCAGAGAATGGGGAGCTAGAGAGCCAAGGATGCTTAGTGGGGATGTTTTATTTTTTTTAGTCAGAGCCAAAGCCTACAAACACAACCTCTGTGCCAACAGGATCTGTTTTGGTAGGAACCCTACCTAAAGCAAACTGCTGGGGCTTTTGAGAGCTAATATAATATAGGACACTGGACCTGTTGGGCTGACAAAGTTATAAAGATAAAACTTTCCCCCCCATAGAGATACCAGATTTAGCAAATGTTTAGCAAATAAAATAAAAATACAGAATATTCAGTTACATTTGAATAGTAGATAAATGGCAAATGATTTTTCTTACTATAAGTATGTCCCATGTAGTATTTGGGACTTCTACTATAAAAACATTTCTCGTTGATCTGAAATTCTAATTTAACTTGGTGTCTTTAACATTATTTGGCAGCCCTGGTCCTGGGGAACAGGAGTAGGAGGAGGTCTCGGGAAAAGACCCTCTTGTAGATGGTCAGTCACCTGTTAATCCAAGAAAAAAGCAAGGCCCTTTCCTGATCTCTGTTTTTATTTTTAATAGGTTATTTTATTGTCACTTGATTCAATTCCAAAAGCCCAACATTAGTGGAAAATTTACTCCTCTTGAATGATAAACTTCGGCACCTGAGACCATTCCTTCTGCTTGATTCCTGCCAGATACCCCACTTGGCTTCCCTGGTTTGCCCATTTTGTCCCATTCCCTTTAATTTAATGAAGTTAATAAGTCACCGCTATGAAAATCCAGCTTGAGGAGCCTTGCCTCAGATGATCTTACTCTCACCTTTGATTTTTCTCATCCCTGGTCTACGCTCTCCACCCACCAGCTGTGCCCTGTCACAGTGACCAGGGCTAATGTCAGATGGATTCTCCTTCCACCTTCCAGGCTCTCCTTGCCTGCCATTATGGGGTTTGGGCCATTTTATCACTTTTTACAACCAGGCAACTCCTCCTCTCGGCACCCATTCCCTCAAAAACAAAAACAAACTTTTTTGCCCTCCATGGAAAGTTGCACAATGGGTGTTTGGCCCTTGCTGACAACATACAGAATTGGTTTAGTTAGAACACAGAATATGCCTCTGGTGCAGAACTCTATTCTGACGTTAATGACAATTACCCCAGAAGAGCTGTTTTCCTCTTAAAGTTCATGAATTCTGATGGCTCTTCTTTCCTTCATTCCCAGCGGATCCACTTCATTTTCTCCCACTTTCCTAATTTTCTCCCACCTGGCCATCATCTGTTGGCCACTCGAAGACCAGAGGACAGAATGGTGAACTATGCCCAGCAACAAATTCTGGATAATCATTTATTGTGATCGTTGTTTGCAACAGAACTTTTAAACTATCTTTCCTTTGGTTTTCATGGAGCCAAGACTAGACGTTCTAGATGCCTGGTCCCGGTATAAGTGTCCATCCATCCATCCATCCATCCATGGCTCCTCTTTCCCAACAAGAAGCCGGATTTGGTGACTCTGAGAAATAACAGTTCCATAATGACCCAAGACCCCTGCCTCTTCTGATTTTGTCTGGGCTTACCTAAGACCAGCCTTTCCTCAGCTAAATCTCATTTGGCCACTAGAAATCAGTGTGCCACAGGGCGTTTAGTATCACTGGCTCCTGGAGGCTTTCTGTTTGTCAAATGAAGCTAAAGTAAATAATATATCCCTGGAATAATTGTTTAACCCAGAGGGCCTTCTGGCTCTTTTGTTATTCTGCCCTGGAGCCCCTAAATGTGCTTCCTCAGAGGGCTCAGAAGTAGAAGAGATTACTCTTAGTAAATAAAGAGCCAACTTTTGACTGTTAAATGTTATTTGTCTTATGACCCTTGAGAAGTCCATAGATCATTTGGAACTATTTGGATATCAAAGCAAAAGTTGATAGAAAGCAATAGGATTTACCAGTTCTTACTATTTACTCTTTAGAACATGGCTTAGCAATCTGTGACCCTTGGGTCAAGTCCAGCCTACCACCTGTTTTTTCTAAGTAAAGTTTTGATAGAACACAGCCATACAAAATCATTTACATGTTGTCTGTGGCTGCTTTTATGCCACAAGGCAGAGCTGAGTAATTGCAACAGAGACCATATAGCCTACAAAGCCTAGAATATCCACTGCTAGGCCATTTATAGCAAGAGTTTGCCAACCCCTGCTCTAGAACGGTGGTTCTTAGCCCTGGTTGCACACTAGAGTCAGTTTGAGAGCTTTTCAAAAATGATTTTGTTGCACATATATACATCATATTCCCTCTCCCTTCTTCCTCCCCACGCTCCCCACACACATTCACATAAGTGCTCACACACACAACTTGTCTGTTCCTTGCCCTACCCTGGGGGTCGGGGAGTTCCAGCCCTGGAATCCTGCTCCACCAGCCCAATGAGAAATAAGTAACATCTGGAAGAGCGAATGTCAGTCCGTGGCCTAGAGCCGAAACATGGCTTTGTTAGAATTTCTCCTTTTTGACTCACTGAGCATTGCCAGTTTTCAACAAGGTCTGTTGGGAGTGCTCCCCAGAGCAGCTAGGAAGCTCTTTCCTGCCCCCACCTCCCTTTTCCCAAACTACTCCTGCTCCAGAAATGGGTCCCAGCCTGCTCTCCCACTGTTCAGGTGTCGTAACTCCTAGGCAGAGTTTCACATGGCACAAGGTGACCCCACAAGAAGTGTGGCTTTTCTCTGAATAATTCTCATTTTTCTCTGGTGACCTTTGCATCTTTTCCACCTCACGTTTTGCCATCTGGCTGCCTTGTCAGGCTGTTGCCACAAGAGACAACTAGGTGGCTTGCAGGGAAGGGGAAGAAGAGAGGTTAAATATCTGGGGCTTTCAGAAGGTTTAAAAATACTGCTAAATAAACTCCTATTTTCACACAGCACACCGTTCCGGAAGGCAAAAGCCTTATATGCCTGCAAAGCTGAACATGACTCAGAACTCTCGTTCACAGCAGGCACGGTCTTCGACAATGGTGAGTTTCTCATTCCCTTGCAGAGCTTTGGGAGGGGTGGGAGAGCAAATAAAGAACTGCAGTTTTCAAAGTTCCTGCGGGGAGAAAAAAATACAGTCTCACTTGAATGGATAAGACTGAAAAGAAGTGAGGGGGGGCGGGGGTGGGGGTCTTTGCCCAAAATAAGAGAGTAGCAGCAAGACTTCTGGAGGCTCTGTCAAGAGTGGACAGTGTACTGAAGTCTTCACTTGGACAGACTCAGCCTCATGGAGCAGTACTGGACATGAAAAGTGATTGTGTACCTGGACGGGGCTCTGCCAAGCACTTGGCAGTGGCTTTGAGAGTCTGGGGGCTGGACAGAGGATAGGAGACAGCAGAGCAGAGAACAGGGATCCTGCAAGTGGTCAGCTCAGGGTGGAGACTGAAGCACACGTTCTGTGCCTCTTTTTCCTCTTGGGTTCAGTGGCATTCACTCTCCATAGCAGGTGAGGCTTATTTCCAGGCTAGCAGGGCAACTGTGCAAGCTCGGGGTCAGTGAGCCTCCCTGCAGTGGTGCTTGTCCTCCCCCTGACTGTTAGTAGACTCCTTCAGGGCCATCTCCCTGCACACTCCCAGCTGTCCTGCTCAAGTATCCTGTGTGAAAATGGATTCATGGCACTTGCACTGTAGAACTGGGAACTAGTCTTACTTGATGTACCTTTTTCTTGTTGTTTTTTGTTTTTTGGTTTTTTTTCTCCCTAAAAAAAAAGGAAAAGGTAGTATTTTTTAAAGTGAGTATTGATGGCATAATTTGTCGTAACTTACCATTTACCTAAGAGAAAAATCAGGATTCTGGGAAAAAGCCAGAATTTCTGTTACAGCTGAGATTTTCGCCAGATGAAGTTCTCCTTTGGGGTTAATCTTTCCGGATCCTTGGGTGAAAGGGTCCCTTTTTTGCCCAAAGGAGAAATCCAAAGCTGCTGCCTGATTTCAGGAAGTGGAAATTTTCTGGGGCTGCCTTCTTGACCTCCGTTGGGGTGGTGGCAGAGTTCCTGAGCAGGGCTGAGTGCATGTTGCCCAAGCGCTCCCCTTCAGGGCTGAGTGCCCCACTTTGGCCTAGGTTACACCTCCTGCCACCTGCTTGAGAGCCAGAAATACAGGGCAGCCAAGGCCCCCACCTAGCACTAGAGTGCCTCAGCTCTAGATTCAGGCCACCAAAGCACAAGTCCTGGCTCGACTACCTGCTTCTGTGTGTCCAGCAGTGACAACCTCTCTGTGCCTCAGTTCTGTCCTCTTCACATAAAGATAAGAGGGTTGTGAGGGAGAATTGCAATGGTGCACATCATGTATTTAAGATAGTACTCAACACATTAAGCATTCAGTGTTATTATTATCATGATGATGATTGCCATCATTATGCCCATCTTAGAGCCTGATGTTCTGATAGTTCACGGTGATCCTTTTACATTCGTCCCTCCTATAAAGCAGGCCTGTCTCTTGGCTGGGCAGTAGGCACTGCACCTTGACCCTCTAAGTCCTGGCTGTCTTTAGCGGCCTCTAAGCCAGAGCAGAGATGGACTCCTGGGGACAGCCTTGAGTGCATCCCCATGTGAGGGGGCAGCCCCCTGTGTGCTCAGCCTCTGCATTCAGCATTGCAGAGGTAATAATCAGGCATGGGGAGACAGAATGGGGAATAGTTCACAGAGTACCTGGGGGATTCCTAGGTCACGCTTAGACCTTCTGAGCCCGCAGGGGCTGGGGTGAGCCCATAACTGTATGTGGCCTGCTGGGTGCATGTCCTCTTGTATAGTTCTCGAAGCCCCAAAAGCACTGTCCTTAAACCTTTGCTCCATTAACTCTCATTTGGGTGCTTTACATATCCAAGTGCACAGCCAGCCGGCCCAGCTGCCTCTCCTATCAGCAGCTGGAGCATTCAGGCCCTGCCAGAGCTGAGGTGACGCGGGTCCACGGAAGGCTGTCCAGAGCCATGTCGCTAACAAGTGTGCCCTGCCCGAATAGGCCCATACGGTAGAGTCCCAGTGCAGCCATAACATGATGCAGCGTTCACAGCAGACAAACCTGCGTGGGCTGCATGCAGGCCTTCTGTGTCCTGCCCCGCCAGCAGGGGCAGGCCTTCTGCCTGGAGATGGGCAGGATTTGAGACATTCCCACATTTACAGGTGAATCCAGAATTTAAAGTCTGTCCTCTGAACCCCAGTTCACTGCTCCTGTGGGCAAGGGACTGTCATGTTCCTATCAGCTATTCACTATGACTGCACAAAGGACCCCTGATCTTAGGGGCAAACTTGGTCTAAACTCTGAAAAGGTATGTGTATGTGTGTGTATCTTGTGACTCCTTTTTTTGAGTGCAGCCCTCAACTTTATTGAGATACCCACATACCATACAATTTACCCATTTAAAATGTACAATGCCGTGGTTTTTAGTATATTCAGAGTTGTGCAACCATCACTACTATCTAATTCCAGAATATCTTCATCACCCCTAAAAGAAACTCTGTACCCCTTAGCAGCCATCTCCATTTACCCCCAATCCTGCTCCATTCAGCGTCTGCTCTCTGTCATTATCAATTTGCCTGCCCTGGGTATTTCATATAAATGGAATTACACAGTATGTGGTCTTTGTGACTTGCTGCTTCCACGTAGCATAGTATTTTCAAGGTTCATCCCTGTTGGAGTGTGCATCAGGACTTCTTTCCTTTTTATTGCTGGGTAATCTTCCCATGTGTGGATATACCACATTTTATTTATCCACTCATCAGCTGATGGCATTTTGATCATTTATACTTTTTGGCTATGAGGAACAATGCGGCTATAAACATGCATGTACAGATTTTTGTGAGGACCTGTGTTTCCAGGTCTCTTGGTGATAGACCTGGGCAAGGGCGGGGGGGACTACTGAATCCCACTGTAACTCAGTTAAACAGTTGAAGGAGCTGCCAAACTGTTCTACAGAGAGGTTGCTTCATGTTGTCTTCCCACATTTTTAAATCTCCTTTTTGAAGTAGCTAACCAAAGAGAAAGGAAAAGAAACCTAGGTGATTTTTTAATGGCCAAGTCCTTTCCTTCCCTGCGGGGTGCTCTGCCTAGCAGGTCCTGGGACTGCATGCACCACACAACTTGGTCATCATCATAAATCCTATAATGATAAAGGAGAGCAGGAAAGAGGTTTGGTTAAATGAATCAGAGGCCTTATCCACGCCTTCCTGTGGTTTCTGGGAGTCATGGCAGAGTTCATTGACACCAGTTTGTTTTTAACCAGGAATGCCCTTTCAGATTCCCTGGAGAGCAAAAGGCAAAATGAAACCCCAAAGAAAGCACCTCTCAGTGTTGACTGAACTGCAGTCAAAGAAGGGTCTGACAAAATGTGAATCCACTTTTTAAAGATTCATTTATTTATTTTAGAGAGAGAGAGAGAGAGCACGCATGAGTGGGGGAGGGGGGCATAGGCAGAGAGAGAAATTCCCCAACCGACTCCCCACTGAGTGAGGAGCCACCTCCAGGCTTGATCCTGAGATTACGACCTGAGCCGAAACCAAAAGTCAAAGATGCTGAACCAACTGAGCCACCCAGGTGCCCCATGAATACACTTTTTGTGGTGATTCTTAGAAAATGCTACATATATCCCATTTCCCCCCTCCCATCACCTCCATTGGAGAAATCAGGCATTAGGGGAGAAAAAGCTGTTAGCACATTAGGCAGGGAGATCATTTTCCTTGTTCTGTCTCTTGCTAGTTTCTTTCTGGAGACATCAGGTAAGAGCTGTTTAAGTTGGATGCTCTCTGTAGCTGTCAGATTAAATCATCAGACCAAAAGGAAGAAATTTCTTAATGACAGGCTTAGAGAGTTTGTGTGTGTTGTCTTTTTCAGGATCAGGAAGAATGAATAAGGAAGAAGAAGAAGGAGGGGAACTTTGAGGGGAAACTCTGTTATTTCATAATGATTAATCTCTCCAAGCCTTTGGATTCCAGGGGCCTGTGCTGTGGATCTGGGGTGGCTGCTCAGTCAGCTTTTGGAGTTTGTGCAGGGGAGAATGGATGTGCAATACTTGGAAATAACTCCACTGTCAGCCCTTGCCAGTCTACTAGGAAATAGCCCATTTCACCAGGAGCACCTCAGATAGTAACTGGAAAGAGAAATAACTTGTGTTCCCAGGAACATTAGTCATTTTATGGCAATGTGATTAGTGATACCTGGAAAATTCACATGGTAGTCACTAAAATTGGGTTCTTGGGATACTTCCATCAAGATTTGAGGTGGGCTGGATCCATTCATTCCCAAGGTATGGGGTATGGCATGAGTGCAAGACAAGGCTGCCCCGGCTTTCCTTTGCAGATAAAGAAAATCCTCCCAGGGAGCCACTGAGCCATTCCCACCAGTGCGGTTATGGGGGGAGGTCTTCGGAGTGGAGTCTTTTGGACTCCCCAGCCGTCTCTACTGCCAGATCCAAACACAAACCCAAGCCACCTCCATCTCTCACCCAGGTGTTTCCACCAGCTGCCTACATGGTTGTCATGTCCACTCTTGTCCCCACAACGTATTCCCTGTGCAGCAGCCAGAGTAATGTTTGGAAATCACATCATGTTATTCTACTTCACATACTCCTGGCCTCCTGTTCCTCCTAGAATTACTGATGAGTGCCTCCACTGACCAGCTCTTGCCCCCGGCCCCCCCTCACTCGATACACTGCAGCCTCACGGGCCTTCCCTATGTTCTCAGCTAGGGTCAGCAAAGTATGACCTGTCAAATCCAGCTCACTGCCTGTTTTTGTAAATAAAGTTTTATTGGAACATAGCCACCCATGCCTCTTTGTCTGCATATTATCTGTAGAGCTACAATGGCACAATTGATAGAGACACACGTTTACGACCTGGCTCTTTGAGAAAAATTTGCAGACCACTATTGTGAAATCACACCAAGCTTTTCACCACCTTAGGGCCTTTGCACTTGCCATTATCCACCGCCTGGCTAGCTCCTTTAGATCCTTTAGGTTTTAGCTTTTTGAGCTCCTCCCCATACCCTCATCCCTATCCCAGTCTCTCTCTCTTCCCTCATCACTACCTAAAATTATGTGCTTATTTATTAATATATTGCCCTGATCCGAGAGCAGAATCCTTCTGCTTGCTCTGTACTGTGTGCACGGCCCCCTAGCACAGTGTCTGACACAGGGTAGGTGCTTAATAAATGCTTGTTAAATGAGTAAATGTATTCGGCTACACAAGGGTCTGTGCCTCTTCCAGCCAGTACTTCTTCCCTTTGGAACAGTCAGCCATTAGAGATCCTAGTCACATGCTTGCTCCTTGTCCACAGTGAGAGAGAGAAAAGAGAGAGCATGAGCTGTGTATACAGGGGTGTATGGAGTATATATGGATGGAGCTGAGAGAAAGTGGTTGGCGGGAAGCACATCCATGTCAGCAGCTGCTTATATTAGATGCTTGCTGGGCTGGAGAGCTGCCTAGGCAACTCACTGAAACACTCTGTGTTTATATAGCACATTGGACATTGGTGCAATTCAGAAAGTTGGACATTGGCTCAGTTCAGCTCAACAAGTACTTAGGAGCATCATTGACATTCAAAGCATTGGGCTAGGCAAAAGCGGTAGTGGTTAGACCACAGACTCTTTGGTCAGATGCCCTGGGTTCAGATCCACCTCCATCACCTGTCAGCTATGTAGTATTGGGCAAGATGCTTAACCCCTCTGAGCCTCAGTTTCTCATCAGTAAAATGAGGATTAATAGCAGAATCAACTCCAGAGTCATTCTGAAGATGAAAGGAGATAATGCAGGCAAAGCACTTAGCAAAAAACCCACTACTTGGTATATACATACATATGTATGTGTAAATTCTTAGTGTGCATATGTATCATTTTCTGGTTGAGTATAGGTGTAATGGTTTGGAAAAGGGCTTGGTCTTTGGAGTCAAACACGCCGGGTTCAAATTCTAGTTCTACCATTGTGATCGGCATGAATTAATTGACCTTTCTGGGCCCTTAATTTTCTCATCTGTAAAGTACAGATAGGAAAATACAAGCTAGGATCTTCAGGATCAAATAAATTGATATATGTCTAAAGCTCTCAGCCCATTGGCTGCTTCCCAGTCCCTATCTAAGTATTAGCTTCTGTCATAATTCACCAGGCAGAGGGGACTCATTAGGTGAGACAGTACAGACTAAAATGTCCTTAAAGGGGGCAGGGGGGAAGCAAAGCTTAATACATTTGGACAGTGTTAATAGCACCCACGAACAATGTGCAGAATGAGCATTCCAGGAGTTTGGAGAAAAGAGGGAACAGGTAGACCGGATTCCATGCCAGTATTTATGAAGGAAGTAGGGCTTCAGCTGAGCCATAAAGTGGGAGGACAGGAAACAGAAGCAGGGAGGACATTTGATGTTTCCTCCCTCCTCCATCAGTGAATGAGAATTTGCGTTGCCTTATTACCACCCTCGCTACAGAGGCATTTGGGCACAGAAGAGTCATAACCCTTACCTTTCTTTGAATGAGTCAAAAAGATCCCTCAGCCTCACTCCTAGAGATTGTGTTTTAACCGGTATGCCACAGGGTCCAGGACTCTGCAGTTTTAATAAGCATCCAGGTGATTGGGATGACGTGGTCTGCTCTCATGCCTTAATGAACCCAGCTTAAAGACCCCAGTGAGTCCGCAGTCTAACCTGAGGGCTGCATTGTCCCCTGCCATCTCCTGTGACATAGCTCTTGTTCTTCCATTGGAGGGCCTTCTTTATCCCCTTGTGCTCTTCCCTTATGCTGCAAATTCCATTTTTAATGTCTGTAGACGTTACCACCTCAGCACCTGAACTGTGTTTGAACAGCTGCCCAGGAAGGGAGAATGTCTGAAAGTGAGGGACTCCGTGTATCTGGTGGAGTAACAATTCAACTAGGAGCTCTGCTGTAAAGTGGGAGGGGTCTTTTTTGTTTTTATTTTGTTTTGTTGGTTATTCTTTCTAGGCCTTTTATTTTGGGGAGTGAGTTTGTTTGTTTTGGTTTGGTTCTGAACATTTGAGGTTCCCCAAAGCTTGGGTGGGTATTGAGACCAGGCCCTTACCGGGAGAGAGCCTTGTTGACCAGTCCAAGTGACTGGTCAAATGATGCAGGGTCCCCTATTGGCTAGCCCAACTGTGTCCTGGCTCTCTGCTGAGTGCCTTCTCCATATTGGCCCCTGGAACTTCACAAGAACCCACTGACAGAGTGAGAGTTTTATTATAATCACTTTATAGGTGCAGAAAAAATTCAAGTGATCTTAACATCGTCAGCTGGATGCATGGTCAGAAGGCGGTGGTGTTTGAGTGCAAGTATCTGAGGGGTGGGTTGAGAGAGTTTCATCACTGGAGAGACCGGGGTGCTTTTAAATTGTGTTGTGTTCTTCCGTGGCACTTCTCTTCCAGACTCCTCCTTGTGTGGGCGTCATGAATCCGAAGTCCCCTTACTATTTTTGGTTTATTCATGAAGCCTAGTGATACAAAATTATGCAAGCATTTTGGAGGCCACCTAATAGATGTTTGATCTTGTCTTTTCCTGAAGCTTTCAAGATTACATTGACATTGATCTTCTTTAAGCCTCGATGTGTGTCCTTTTGCTACTCCCCCATTGCTTCCTTTTGTTTCTGTTCTTGCTTCTTTCCCCACAAACTGAAACTAGAGTTACATAGTAGCAATGGGGGCGGAAATGCTTTTCTAAAACAAGCTCAGGAAGTCACTTAATTAGACTAGGAAGGGAATAAGGGGAAATTGATTCTTTCTTAACAGTCTCAGAAAATTGGAGTTTTCCTAATACGTTAAGAGCAAATATGTTGCCTTTCCCATTAAGAGTGATTTGTATATTCCCAGTTCACAAGCATGAATACCACCCCCCCCCATTTCCAGGTCCCATGATTCCTTCTCTCTTTCTTCCTGCTATTGAACTTTGCAGACTCAGCTGGATTTTATATAATCTTTACAGTATCACTGTAATTTCCATGAAGATGTATTGTGATAGCACAGAAATGAGTGTATTTTTTTGGATATTGAAAAACCAAGGAAATGGAGATTTTGAAAGTTGCAAGAGAGAGGGAAGAAGACATCTTTCAGTCTTGTATGTAGGAGGGAGGAAAATTCTAGAGAAGAGCAAAGAAAACTAAGGGTATGGGTGGAACAGAGGGGGCTGTTCAAAGGCTATAGAATGTAAAAACAAAACAAAACAAAAACAAAAACAAAAACAAAAAACCACAGAGGGAGTTTGCAGGGAGATTGGAAGCAGAGGGTAAGGATTTAAACGGAAGCAAAATGCATAATTAGATTAGTAAAATGCATGCTAGATATCTTTAAAGACTAGTTCTTAGCATTTTTTCACTGGCACTCCACTGGGTACAAAGGCAGTCCTGGGTAGGTAGATGGGTGCCATGGATGGATGGATAGATGGATGGATGGTTAGATAAATTTATGGATGGAGCACCATAACTGACTTCTAACCTAAAAAGTAGAAATCTGTCACCTCTTTCTGGTTTAAACCAGCAACTTCAGAAAGTCTGGGAAACTCCTAGAATTCTATGTAAAACTTTGAACGTCTTTGTTTCCTTTTGTGTTAGAAAGAACATTCAGAGTAACCTTTATTGAAAAGCTTATGTCCCACAAAAAATTAAGAACCCCTGGTTTAAGCAAGTCCTAGAAATGTGTAATATAACAAGCGATTGCACTCATTTGTTCTCACACGAGTGTGCACACACATCCACCACCTGCCCTATCTGTAACACCTTCTCTTCTCACACTCTCTCCCCTCTTGCTATACAGTTCATCCATCTCAGGAGCCTGGCTGGTTGGAGGGGACTCTCAACGGGAAGACTGGCCTCATACCTGAGAACTACGTGGAGTTCCTCTAACCGTGGGCCCCAGCAGACCTGCTGAGCTTTCCATGGTATCCATGACAACTGCTGATGCCAGTGTTGTAGGCCATTGCTCTTTGCCGCAGAGAAATGCGGGGTGATTGACTCTGTTACCACCTGCCAGCACGAATGTTTCTGTGAACTCTGGTGTCACCCATCCCCATGATCATGTCAGCTGGCATGTGGTGATACTGCAAAGAACAGAAGTAAATCAGCAGTGGAGGCCATTTGATTTTGATAACCGAGGGAAAGGCTTGCAAAGCTGTTCCTCTCATTTAGTGCCCTAAATAGGGAGCATTCATTTTGTTTCAGCAGTCATCCAAACCCCCAACCTTCCAAAAAAGGAAGTAAGAAAGATTTCAGTAGTCCTCAAGAGCATGCAGTGTAGCTAAGTCTAACAGGGCTGGGCATTGGCTCTGAGGCCCAGGCTGGGCCCGTTGCTTCTGTTTACAGTAGACACTCTCTACCCCACCTCTGAATACTTGAGACCCACAGTGCTACAGGCAGCTGGATCTGTCTGTTTGCATGCAGGAGGGAGATGGTTTACGGCACTGTTTACATAAGATGCAATCTCTCGCCATCTCCAAGCAGCCTTGGCCAAGCATCAGCAGAATTCAGCTCAGTCCTCTCGTGCAAGGGAACACACACACCCCACGTTCCCCCTCCCAAGCTAGGAACTTCTCTGCCACCCAGGGCTGCCATCACCTCGTAACCACGGCAACCCAACCTACTCTGAAGCCAAACCAAAAAAATAACACTCTTTTTGCATGACATATTTTTTCTCCCTCCTTTTTGGTCATTTTTTGAATGATTTCCCAACAACCTGAAGCAGAAGATCAAGGGATTAGAGTGGTCTGCTTGGGGCTGACAGAATAGCGGCTGGGAACTCTTCCCTTTCTGATGAATTTCAGCAGCATCAGGATATATTTGGAGCAAACTCTAGTAACCTCTTGAGATTAAATTACATACAGGCTTAATACTTCTGTTCTTCCATGCAACTAGCATTTGCTTTCTAGGGGGCAGTATGCTGCCTCCTCATGGGCGACATCCTCTCCCCCCTTTGACTTGTTCACTCGTGGTCTCCCATTCCATGTCCCTTCCCCTGCCCTTGACTGCCTCTAGCCCCTCCCTGACCAGCCCCACTGGCAGTGCCCTGGGCTCCTGAGCCCAGGTGCCCTGGCAGCTTTCAAGCATGATTCCCTGGCTAAACCCTATGGCTTGTAGTTTTAAAGGACATACATGTTCACTGCCACTCAGAAAAAGGGAATTGTTTCTCAGGCTTTTGAGGCACAAGACGCATATTGTAAGCCATTTGATTCAGGAGAATACCAAAAGGTCGGGGCATGGAAGGTGGAATGGGTACCTTCTGAGAAAGAGAATTTCCTGGTCCAGAAGGGGCTGGGTCTTGTGGAAGACTGCAGGGATAGGGAAGTTGGGTCTGGACACTTCACATTCACTTGGCCTTCAAAGGAACAGAGTTCCCAGTATCTTCCACATTCGAATGTCCTTGCAAGAGTGACTCTGGGCAGACAGACTCCAAACTGATGATGGACTGTCAAGCTCCCCAGGAGCCCCCTCGGGTTGGCAGCATCACCCCAGAGTGTTTCCCGCTTCTGGAATTCCTCTTTAGGGAAGTTGAAAGAAGAAAAGAAAAACTTGAATTGTGTTGAATTACTGTATCTTTTACTTTTTTTTTTTTTGAAAAGATAAACTTGTAAATAGAGTGATTTGAAATATTATATGGCAAAGTTTTATATTTGATAATCTTTAAGCTAGTGGCTCCACACATTTAAGCTTTGATTGTTGAATAGGTGTGTGTAAGAGGGAGAGAGAGGAGGCAAGGTTGAAGAGAGTCAAGGTCATCCCCTCTCTGGCCTCGAGGAAGGAGGACACATTTCTACCCACTCTCTGCTGGCTCTCGTTGGTGGGCATGACACACTGAAGGTATTCGGTCGTCTTTATCCACATGTGTTTTTGAGCTTTTCTTGGGCTTTGAATTTGGAGAGAGAAAGCATTTTCAGGCAATGAATTTTTAAAAGAATGCTTGCTTGGTAGTAAGATGAAGCTCAGGATTCACATAGGTGGGGCCAGGAGTTAGATTTTTTTTTTTCCATTTTTCTTCTCAGGTGTATTTCTTGGTACCCCAGTATGTCAGGACAGAAGGCAACGGGGTCGTCGCATGTTCCTTATATCTCACTCCTCTGCACATCTTCTGAGGTTGTACACATGAGGCCGAGCTATTTTGTAAATGTTGTGTGTGTGTCTAAGTTGTAGGAAAAACTGGCTTCTTAGGATCTTGGGTCCTCAATATGCTGCTGTTTTCCCTTTCCCTAAATATTTCCCTTCTTGTTCATCTCAAATTTCCTATAACCCCAAAATAAAAACTCCAAAGAGGGACGTAGGACGTAGGCTGTGCTGTTGTTACAGCTTTATAGATGATTTTAAATTTAAAGGAGTTTGTCATTGTGATTCAGTTCATCGGCTCAAGGATTACACAGCTATTATGGAAGAGCTCAACCAACAGCAAGCGACACACTACCACTACCAATTCAGGGAACAAGAACTAAGACTGGATAAGACCAAGATAGGACTCAGGAAAGCTATTCACGGAAAACCCAAGAAGAAGGAGAACACACCAACTGGCTACACTTACTCCCTGTAGACTTGGAACAGCTCAGGAACCTGTTCAGTGGAGCTTGAGGGGACAAGCATACTCTGTGCCACTGTGCTTTCCAAATGGCAAGAACTCCACATAATGGGTTTTTGTTGTTTTTTAAACACATTTGATGTTTTAAATTGTCACCTGCCTCACTAGACCCTTAACTAGAGCTAACGTGGAGGAGCAGAAAGCCCAGGCCCTGATTTGGGGAGCTCCTCCCTGAAGCATAGCTGTCGACACTTGGCCCCAGCTTGACCACTTGGAAGCCTGTCCCTCTTCAGTTGGCCCTGATTTGAAGCCAGAAGGAAATGGAAGTGCCGCCAATGTGAATTTGTAGGTAGACCCCTTCCCAGCTTCCCTGTGGTCATGCTGGGCCTGTGACAGATGGCTGCCCTGCTTCCTTTCCCCAGCCAGGCTCACCTCCTCCTCATTTGCTGCAGAACTGGAGATACCATTAGGAATATGAGCCAACAAATAGGAAAGGAATTTGACGACTAAAAGTCGGTTTTACCCTCTCTACCATCTATGCCCCCCACCCCTAATTCTGCTTGAATAGGGAACTTTAGGGCAGATTAGGAGAGTGAACAAGGTATCAGAATGGAGGACTATGGACCAAGATCCCTGAGCTTTCCCAGGAACCTTGTGTTTCTTTTCTAAGGCCCTGTGATCATGCACACAGAACCTGAATCTTTACTTGGGCATTATGATCCATCTCATTCTTCCTTCAGGTACTCGAAGAATTCCACAGCTGCAAAATTCCATGCTGTGAAAGATAACTAGTTTCAAATCCCTGCCCCGAAATCCCTTGCTCAGGACTGATGATATTCTCTTCCATTTTCAAAAATTGACATATAGGGATGGACCCTGTGTAGCACAGCCTTCCTTAGTATCCTATAATTGGAGCCAGTTTCTCGCTTAGTGTTTTAATATTTCTACGGCCAATATGTGTTTACCTCTGTCAGACCAAACTGTCTTTTTCAACGTAATTCTAGTTCATCCCCTTTTGCTGAGTGCTTTTTGGACAGAGATGCAAAGAGAAAGAAGCTAAGCAATCAAGCATTGGCAGATTGACATTAGCAGGACAGAGCCATGCTAGTGACAAGACCATTTCAGGCATTCCCAGGACTCCACGATTGTGTGTGCCGTGCCTGTAGCTCACGGGGAAGTCCTTCTACGAACAGTGTCTCCTGACAACAGCAAGCCCAGTCACCCCAGAAGTTCTGTCTTGACTACAGAGACTACAAAACCATCCATGGTTGAAGGGTGGGGAGACAGAAATAATCAGCTAAAGGTACTTTGATCCCCTATTCATGACTCTTTATTGGCACTTTTCATCCTCTGGCTTCTGCTTCCAAAAGCAAGTCTGGACCAATAGTTTTATAGACACAGGAGTCCCAGGTACAACAGTGGCCACCATGGCACTCACAGTTGCCCTAGTACAGAATGTTTTATGAGCCACCAGATTACCACAGTAGGTAGCCAGCCTTGAAGAAATCAAATAGCTACCTGACTTTAAAAGGAATGTCCTAGGTATTCTATCTCCAGAGTTATCTGTCATCTCTGGCAAACCTGACAGTAATCAATTACCTAGACAACCCTGCCCCACATGTCTTTTAAGTCACCTGGGTGTCCTCTCACACACCCTTAGCTGGTGTTTAAAAAATTTATCTCGTGTTCAAATGTGTTTGGCAGCCTCGCAGATCGGCTGGGTGCTGAACCACTTCTCTGTAATTGTAGCATCAAAATGACAACAGCAGAGCAGTGAACCTTGCACAATCCTGCAGCATGCCTGAGACAAGACTCCAACAAGTAATAATTAGCTTTTTTCCTTGCGCCGCCTACAGTACTTGTCTAACTAAAGAACTTCCCAAAGCAGAGGGAGAGACCATACAGAGAATCCGGATGTCATTCAGAGCCACCAGAATGTGGTCTTCTGATGGAAGCGTTGTATTCTGGGGTGAAAAGGTTTGGATGTCAAGTAGCGTGAGGTGCAGAGAGAAAGAGAAATGTGAACCACCTTGAAGAACTTGGGATGTTTTTCCTAAGAGGGATAAATACAGTTCTTAACAGGGAAAAATCGGCCACAGAAAAAGTTCACAACTGATTTTTTTACAAAAGCTTTTACAGGACTCTACAAGGTGGAAATGTCTTTCAAGATTTGGAATGCTATAGCAAGCAAAGGCTTGGCACAGTCCGAGAACCATATAAGAATAGCAGTTAATATTACATGAAAATTCTTTTGAGTGTAATCAGAACCAGAGTATTGATAATCAAAATGTCCAGTTTCCCTGGAGTGGTCCTGGAGAGGTCAAGACATTCTACACGCACCATTTCTACAAAGCTGTCCCAACAGACACCTACAAGCAACTACCTTGGGTGTCCAGGTGCCAGGATCACCCTGGTACCTGTGGAAAGAGGTTCATCTGAAGATTCTGAAGTGTCTGTGTGTTAGTGTGTGTTTGTGCATGTGTATGTAAAGCACACATCTGCATCTGTAAAGACACAGGTGCTCATGTAGAGACCCACAGAAGCTGGCAGTTGCTGAGCCTTTGCAGCCTTTAAGATTCAGAATTTGAGAATAAGAGAAACGAGAGGCTGTTGATTGGCAAAATGATCAAAGTTGTAAATTAAGTGCCATTTTAAAACTTTGTATTTATCAAATGGTTACTACAGCTGTATTCCTTATTAACATATTAAAAGTCGTGTTGGAAAACAGATCAGACTCATAAACCTTTAGTAGCTAATACTAGGCTGGTGGTCACAAGCACTCTAAAAGACATTTTGTCCATATTTTGGAGAAGAAAATATTTGCATGTTTATCTCCTAATTTAGGCTACCTTTGAGTATACTGTAAAGTGCTATGTGATATATTATCAATAAAGTACTTAAAAATGGCACTTTAATTTTTTTAAACCATAAATTATGCACTGTTTTAAACTTCAGTATTGAATATTGACTGGTGTGTAGAATCCAACTCTGTAATTAAAAAGTAATTTGTGACTAGAATAGAACTTTTTTCCCCATTCTTAGTAAAATAGTCTTGCCATGATGAGGCTGTTTTTTAAAATGTGCTTTTGCGTCACTAAGCGTATCTATAAGGAAAATCCAGTTTCTGTTGAGTGGCCTCTGAAACTTGGCTTTGTTTCATTTGCTTGGTTTATGTGACAATCCTTACAAAACGAGTGGAAGTATGATTTTTGAATTAAATGACTTTTCCATTTGGTGGCACGTTTGTTTCTTGAGTTTCTGATAAAGTTTGGACAGGATGCCCATTTTCATATTTCTTCCAATAAGAGTATAAAGCCAGGCTCCCAGGCCCCTGGGGCACACTAACAACCGCCCTGCTGACGCCTGACCTTCCTTTAGGAAAGCTCTAATGCTGGTGAACTTGAGGAGCCATGAAGCATGTCAACCAAGCCCCCCGAAGCCATATTCTACTTAATGTTTCTGACTTTATCTCCTGGAAGACATAACTGTGTTCATTCTTCCTGAATTCGACGTTCAAATCCACTCTTTTGTGGAAGTTCACGAACACCACGTGGGACAGTCCAAGAGCCACAACACAGACAGTCCCACCACACAGCTCGGTGTGTCCCACAGGGTTGTACCTCATTTGTTTAGAACTTGTAACATGTCCCAGGCCAGCTCCTATTACCGCATCTTCTCACTCATCATGTCCCTTCCAGACGCATTCAGAGCTGCAGCCCGGGGCTCCCAGCTTCTGTAGTGAGCACAGAGGGCTCAGAAGGAGAGAGCCGGGGGAGACTCTGGCAGACGAGGGGAGAGTGGGGCTCCCTTGGTGCCTGGTTTTGAGGGGGTGCCCCCTTGAGTGTGGGTCACACATGAGCCACTCACACTATGCTCATTTGTCACTTAAGAAGGCACCGGCTTGCAGCTCTTGTGCCATCACCGAGATTATGCTGCCCTGGGAAATTTTCCAAACATCTGAAGGCTCCTACCTGCACGAGGTCACCCGGCACCTAGGGGAGACCTTCTGAGTGGTACACAGCTGTATCCGCTGTCCATCGTGGGAGCACGAGATCTATGGTATGTATTTGTGTGTTATCTTTGTCCCTGGCCTTTCCAATAGACTTGGCAATCACTTCACCTTTTGTGTCTTTTTAATAGAAGAGATTTCATTTTCATTTTGATTTTAGTAGCCACTCAGCAGAGCTCAAATTGCATCACGCCTTGTGGTTGGTTTGGTGTTCTTCACTTGTTAGCTCTGGCTGCGTGATTGGTTAAAAGAGCACCGTGGTTAGAAATGGGCTGGATTGACACTTGAAATTAGGTAAATGAAGGATTTTCTTAGACCCCAAACATGTTTGCTGTCTCGGGAATTAAATCAGGGCTTTAATTCCTTCTTAGTTCTTCCAGTCTCTGCTCAGATACCACACATCTCTCCTACCCAAATGTGTCAATGTCACTGGCTTGCCCTGCTTTTAATAACCTAAACTAACCTGCAACTAATTAACTAGGCTGGGTTAGGCAGAATTGTCAGAGTTCCGCCAGCATGGCAGCCAAGGGAGCCTCTAACCAATGCAGTAAGTGCTTGGTGGTAGGTGCGTGAGGCGCCTGCATGGGAGGGTGCAAATAATCGTCTGCAGGGAGGGGCGTTCCAACCAGGGCCACATCCTTCACAGTGGCACCCTGCACACCCAAGCATCATCGGACAGTGGGGACCAAAGCAGGAAGGTTTTAATTTGAGATGATCAGAAACCCCGGCGCACTGCACTCAGCAACACCGATCACTCTGTGCATCTCATCTCCTGTAATTCACCCCATGAGGCGGGCCCCAGCCTCTGTTTGCTAAAACCCAAGTAGCTAATAAGCCTTCTCAAGGCCAACCAGCAAATTAATCAAGACTTGAATTCATTTGGGGCTTTAGGTACCAAAATCACATCTTACCCTCCAAGTCTTGAGCCCACCATTAAATTAAAATTTTTTGTTCTGACACTATGGTTCTATGTCCTCTTTGCAGTTTTTCTGATAAGTTATCAGAAAGATGTTTTTTAAATGAACTTTTCCTGCCTTTTCTGAACGCTTCTCGGTGAAGCAGCTTACCTCGCCTGTGTTAAATGCAATGAAGTAATGACAGTAAAGGGTCACCCCTCTTTTCCTACCTTTTCTCCTCTCACGCCATTTTGCCCCTTCATATGTCTTTCTATCTATCAATTCATTTTGCTATCATAAAATGTTTGGTGTCATCTTCTTTTTAATTGACAACTCCATAAGGACAGAGACCAGGTTTTGCTCACCCATGTCTGCCCAGCCCCCAGCCCACGGCCTGGCCCAGCATGTGTCCAGTAGCCGCTGGGTGGGCTGACCGAGTGACTGAAAGCGGAAGAGCGCTGCTTTGCCCTGTAGTTCCTCCTTCCTGTTGGATTCAACAGTTCTTGTTGAAAAAAGAAATTGGGTGTCCTTAGTCTTGGGTTCTTGAACACAAGGTGACTTTGTGACCTCTGGCAAACTCCTCCATTCGTTCACGTCCTGGGATTTCGGCTCATTGGAGGGGGACTTCCCACCCTCCATCCAGGCACACACAGCCACATTCTTTCCCATCCCACTCCCTAGTGCTCAGTACAAGAAGCCATCTGGTTGACCAGCTGACCGAGAACCAAAGACCCTTCACTGTCATCTGAATTGCTTATGGGTAGTTTTATGAACTTCATACCAGGCTCAGGGCCTGCCTTCAAGCAAAGCCACATCAGAATCACCCCCAAAATAAAAAGTACTCTTTTTTGAAGACCCTTCCAGGAAATTCCACACTGTCCCATGGGAATTTGGTCTGGCATCTAACACTCTCACTAAGGGAATTCTTTGTGTCTAACCAAAGTTTCCCATGATGCAGCTTATGTCCATTTCCTTTCTGTTTTTCCTTAGAGTGGAGAATAGCTAGCCTCATTTTTTCAGAGAAATCACCCTCCATTTTTGTGCTTCCATCCAGCAAACACTTCTTGACCATCTCTATGTACCAGGAGCTCCTATGACCGGGACTTATAAGACATGATCTCTGTCCCTAGGGAACTCACAGTTGACCTCCATGACAGGCAAGTGTATGAGAAGCCACATGTGCCGTGTGATATGTCTACATGTTGTGCAGCAGGTAGTCTCGGGCTCCGAGAAAGAAGGGCCTTTCTGTTTGGGAGGCAGTCTTCACAGAAGTGACATTGGAGAGGGATCTCAAAAGGTGGAGAGGAGTTTGGCACCTAGACCATTGGAGAAGTGTCGCAGATTCTAGGACAGCAAGGACCGAGGCATGAAAGGGAGAGGGAGATGGAGGTGAGTTGGATGTGATTGGACACGAGGAGACAGGAGCTTCCTGGAAAACTGTACGCTTCGCTGGTCACCCTTACCTACTCCCCACATTGACCTCTAGGCTTCTGTTTTCCCCCGATGACCAACAATATCAGCTAACATGGATTACAGTCTTACTAGGCAGGAGACACTATTATAAATGCATTAACTCACCAAATCCTCAAAACTCATGAATGAAGTACTATAATTACCCCCATTTTATAGATGAGGAAACAAGATCGGGGAGCTAGGAAGTGGTGAAACTTAAATTTTAGGATAGGTCTGTCTGCTTCTAGAGCCCATATGCTCTTAATTTTTAAAAAATTTCTTTATAGGTATACACACATGATCTTATATAAATTTGTAAGCATTTTTTAATCGTGAGGAAGTTGTTCCTTCTGCTTTTGACTTGGTCTTCCATCCCCCACCTAAACATCTTCAAAACTGACATCAACAACCTCATTATGTCCTTTTCAGCAGTGAGCCCTTCAAAAAGGGCTCTGGCAAGCAGTATCCCGCAAACACTTAGCTTTAGTTCCCTACTGGCCAGAATAAGAGCAGAATATGTTTTGTTGTTTTTTTTTTAAGATTTTATTTATTTATTTGACAGAGAGAGACACAGCGAGAGAGGGAACACAAGCAGGGGGAGTGGGAGAGGGAGAAGCAGGCTTCCCGCTGAGCAGGAAGCCCGATGTGGGGCTCGATCCCAGGACCCTGGGATCATGACCTGAGCCGAAGGCAGACGCTTAACGACTGAGCCACCCAGGCGCCCCCAGAATATGTTTTGATTAAAAACTTTTCTTTTCTCCTAGGAGCCCTGTGCTCACTCATTTTGGGTGAATAGTTTCCCCATTTCTGGAGCTCTCTGCAGACACTCCCGGTTGTCTGGGCAGCCCCATGGACTCCAGCTACAATCTTTGGCTGGTCCCAGCATCCTTAAGGACACTGCAAGGAGGCAGCCCCTGCGGAAGACCCAGCCATGTTTTGTTGGCTGGAAATATGTGCACATTTTTTAAAATTTAACAATTTGAAAACAGTCCCTCTCCCCACCCTGATCCAGCTGTCGACGACAGACCTTCAGGCTCTTATGGGATTGCCAGGGAAATCCCATGAGCATGTGTCTTTTTATGGGAGAGCCAGTGTTTCCAGCGTGATCTGCGAATGCTTAAAAATAGAGAATCTTGGCATTTTAATCCCCTCTTGAACTTAGTGAGATTTGAAAAAAATCAGAGCTAGAGGAGACAGCAAGAGAAGTCAAGGCAGACAACAGTGAGTACTTGTGGGACTCCCTCTAAGGCAGAATGGGACTCACCCAGGTCTCCTGCAGTGAGGGGCGTAGAGCTGTTGCGTGTCAAGATGACTGACAAAGTAAGTCTCATTTGTGGAGCAGTTCCATTATACTAACTGCTTTCACATGCATCATCTTATTAATCCTCACATCAACCCTGTGAAATAGGTCCTGTTGTTACCCTCTTCTGTAGATGAGGAAGCCAAGTATTAGACTGAGTAACTTGTTCGGAGTCACTAAGCTAATAAGTAACAGAGCAGACACCGAACCCCAGCAGACTGATACCACAGCTTACCCTCAACTCCCACATTGTCTCCAGTTGAGAAGGTGGAAGCTCCAGCCCTTGAATGCCCTTTACTTCCCTCGCCCCAAAGGAGTATTTGTTGTTTTTGCTCTTTGGCGTCCAGTACCCCTTCTGGCAACGGCACCTCAGTTTTCATTTGGGGCCTGTGGGTTTAGGTTCCATGGGTTTGGGTGGCCGGGCATCAACCCTTGTTCCAGTGGTGAACCAGTGGTGCTGTTCTGGCCTGTGAGATTATCAGATCCACCCAGCCACAGTGATTGGTTGGTTAAGGAATGGGCACGGGGCCTAGTTAAATCCACAGTGCCAGGACTTTGTCCTGGGGCAAGGTATACAG